AAGGTTGAAGCTGTCTTTTTATTTATTTTACGTGAATTACATTTTAGTTTACATTATGTTAATAGTTACATTTGTATTTTTTGGATGTCATGTTTAAAAATGTATATTTGCTATTTTAATTTTTTTTTTTAATCAATTTTTAAATAAATAAAAATAAAAATATAATAAAAAAACAGTAAATGCTAAGTTAACGAACAGTTTATGAAAACTCATGAATTTTCTTTATAAGAAATTTTACATTATTGTAAATGTTATCCCAAAAGAACTAATACATCTAACAAAAATTAATATTTCATATATAAATAAAAGAATCATAGAACCCTCCTTATTCTAAGAAGGAATAAGTATATATAACAAGAAATGCAACAACAAACTTATTCTACAAATTCTCCAACAAATAAATCAAATCGTTCCAAGAGGGAAATCATATTGATCAGCGTTATTGGAAAAGAACATGGCTTCTCCCATAGAAATATGTAATGCCAAACAAAACAAAGGAAATTCATTTAACAATTCTACTCAAAATGTAGCCAAGCCAGCCAATGCATATATTACAAAATTGACTGATATTGCAGATACTTGCTCTTTCTGTCAGGAAAGTGGGGAAACTTTGACTCATTTGATTTTTTATTTTTTTTTACATGTAAAACCTCACAAAAGTTTTGGTCAGATTTACATAATTATTTGAATAAATCACAACCAGCAAAACAAATCTTTAAATTGAAAGATATTACAGTATTTGTTATTATTCTAGTCCCAAAAATAAAAATAAAGAATATATATATAACTTTTTTATATGCAAAATTCTTTATCCACAAACAAAAATGTCTTAAATCCTCTCCCTCATTTGCCCATTTTTATTTGAAATTGATTCCTTGCTTAAAGTTATACATTTATCTAACAATAAAATAATCTGGAAGTTGATAGAAACTTATGAAAATATTATGCTTCAAGTTAGTCTTTGATGCTTTCTTTGTTGTATTTAATTTTGTACTTCCCCTTTCTTTTATTTCATATTTTTTTCTTTTCTATTTTTTTGTGTTACTTATTGTTCTTATCATGTTGTAACTATCTATTTGTATTCCAGTTTCTTACAAATTATTTCCTGATTTATATTGTACATTTCTTCTTTTCTAAATAAAAGTTTAAAAAAAAAAAAAAGAAAGAAAGAAAATGCAAGGTTAAATAAATGTTTTGTTATCATTATTATTATTATTATCTATTTATTTATTTTACCCCTGGCATCTGTTAATACTTTTAATGTATGGCAGCTAATATGTTTTCTCTCTCTTTATTTTGTTTTATTTGTTTAGAATTGTTGTGAGATGTATATTCTTGTACTACGTTTGTACATATTTACAAAAAAAAAAAAAAAATGCAAGGTAAACCAAGTGGGAGGGACTTAAACCACTAGTAGGTTGGGTTTAGGTGGGGTAGGTCGGTGGAGCAGATATTAATAAAACACATCAGGTTACTGTGAGTATTTGTTTAGGGTTGGTGTAGGTGTAGACATTCATAAAGTACAATATTTGACGTGTCATGTACAAGACATTAAATAAATAAAAACTCCCGAACTGTACAGCCCACTTGGAGCTAGATGGCCCACCCACTTGGAGCTGGCTTGGAACCCCTTAATACCCTTCTCTGGTAAATGGGCTATTTTATTCACAAACAGAATTTCCAAATCCTAATTTATTTTTATTAAAAATGGAAGAATTGAAAAGGACTCTTATGCAAATTATTAACAGAAAGAATAACTTGCTGTTATATTTCACTTTTATTTTTTGAAATTGTTGGCTGTGGGAAAAGGTAAAAAAACTCAACAGTTATCTTATAGTTTATGTGTAATTTTATTCTTTTTTTATTTTACAAATGTAATCACTATTTATTATGACTATTTTACTATGTTGTTTATTAATATATGTTTTTGTTTATTCTTTTATTGTTTTTGATAATTATTATTTTCTCATTTCCTTTCTCCCTTTATCCTGTTGCTCATTGATAATATCATTCTTGTGTATCTGAATTTTTTAACTACATGTCACTAATAAATTTTAAAAAATGCATTTCCAAGTTAATATATTGTATTTTTGCATGGTTTTATTACTATTATAATAATAATATAATTAATTAATAGTTTAATTAATTATAACAATCCAAAAACAATTAACAATTAATTAACAATCCAAAAACAAATCTTTTTTAAATATTTAAATATTATTAATCAGGATTAAAAACATTATAATGACAAAAACGACAAGTTAATTGAACTCATTACATCCAATAATTACATATTTAAAAATACAATTATTTGATAAAATATGTTAAACTGTGTATTTACAGACTTGCAAGTAGATATAAATTTGCAAGTTTCATTTTAAAATCAATGACTGTGAAGATACTCATTCATTTTTCTTCGACTTGGTCTCTTACAGGTCACCACAGCAGAATGAACCGCCAACTTATCCAGCATATGTTTTACGCAGTGGATGCCCTTCCAGCTTCTGACCAGTACTGTGAAACATTCATACACACTCGCATTCATACTCGCATACATTATAGCCAAATTAGCTTATACCTAGGCCCACATGGAATCTGCGCGAGCAGAATTCCAAAGATTTTTTTGCAGAACTCCGCAGATTTTTAGCCCATCTTTAATTCTGTTAATTTACATGTGTAAATGTGTGTAATATCTATATTTATTTAGTTTTTAAATTAATTTCAGAAATATTATTGACTAATATGTAACTGTTCATCTAATTTATTTAAAATACTGTTTGTACAGTAATATTTATAGTCTTTTAGTAGATATATTATACGAGATACTTGCTATGCTTACCAAATAAAGTGAATTTAATTAGATTTTAAACATAAATAAATGTTAAAAATATATTATTTTTTATTTTACATATTAAGGTTTTGGTTATGATACTCTCAAAATAATTCAGCAGAAATCTGCAGATGTTTCCATCTGGCCCTACTTCTTACCTATAATGCATGTCTTTGGACTGTAGGGGAAATCGGAGCACCTGAAGGATACCCATACCAGCACCGGGAGAACATGTAAACTCCACACAGAAATGCCAACTGACTCAGCTGGAACTAAAACCAGCGACCTTCTTTCTGTGAGGCGACAGTGGTAACCACTGAGCCACCATGTCGCCCATCGTGAAGATGTGCAAATAATTAAATTCAAACGCATTTATAAAGCACGGTAATATAATGCCTATAATTTAAAATGGTATGAATCTATACACCTTTTTTTCTTTCAGTTTTGCTGTTTAACTCTGAACAGGCTTTTGGACATTCACACATCACTGGCAGTGAAAACGTGCACAACAATAAAGTGATTCCATTTTGACACAATTAACAGTTGGTTGAACTACTCCTATAGCATATACCACATTAAATAAAGCAGTACATAAATAAACGAACAACAGCGAGGGAGAGAGTTTCAAAAAAATGTTTATTGTGCCTCATTGTTTATATGGCTTTTTTTTTAATATATATAACAGAATTTGTTTGAACACGAACAAAAGACTGACAATACATTAGCCAAGTTGAAAGAACAAGAAAAATATGACAAAGAGTTAAAGTAATCTTAACATTCCGCTTGCTATACGTGTGGCTGTGGCGAAACTCTGAAGGAGAAGAGGTCAGTATGACAGCTCACACACTCTCTGACAGCACCACAGTGATGACATTCAATTAACAATGTACTACACTACAGCTTATTGAGTGCAGCCATCCTCACATTCGACACACACGCGCACACACGCACGCTCACTCACACACACTCACACACAGCTGAGTTGTGGTCATAGTCGTATTGCTTGACTGAGACTGATATCCTTTAACGTTCAGTGGCACACAACCACCAGATTGCATACTGTGTGTTTTTGGCAATAAGTTGGATTAAAATATTTGATAAAATTCGAGAAAAAAATCCCACCAAATCTATCGCATCTACAATGAAGATGAACATTCTGCACTGACTGTGTAAGATCCGCAGATTGATTTCAGTCCATGGCGGGATTTCTAAAACGCAACACACATAAATATTGCCCGTTTCTAGGCTGCCGCCAGACAGCAAGCGTTTGGTCCTTACAGAGATGCCCTGAGTCTGATTTCATGTTCTTTCTTTCTTTTTATAGCAAGAATTCTGAATATATGTAGTATAACAAGCATGCTTTTCAAGTGTGTGTGTGTGTGTGTGTGTGTGTGCGTGTATGTTTGTGTGTTACTACAGGTATGATGAGGTCTTGTATTTCATCATTATACAAGAGATTCAGAAACCGTCCAGATGCATTTGTTTAGTTGTCCTGAAGTACGGTCCAGGCTGATGAGGTCAAATCCCACGGTGATTCGCGCTGGGCTCTCTCTCTCTGTTTCTGAATTCGAGTGCTGCATATCTTCTGCCTGAGCGCTCTGAAGGAAAGCGGTCCAGCATGATGTCATGTGCATGATGCGGAGACTCAAAGGTAAAGGACATGTGGGTGTTTGTGTTTGGAGCTGGGCTCCCTGACAGGAGTTGAACCCTACAAGCTGCAAACTTTGGCACAGACACACCATTCAATTGGCAGCGAATCATATGATGCAATGAAAGCCGATACGTAATGGCATTCCCCTAAAAAAACACGGATCGTTCGACGGGAGATACCCAGCCACTGATTATCAATGACATCTAACGCTGAGCCAAAGTGCCCAAGAACCCAACCAAGCAGCTGGATAAAGACTCAGCAGAGGTCTGCCAGTTCTAGCGATCCCATTATCGTTCTGCTCAGGAAAGCTATGCAAACAAAGTATAACTAAGAAAATAGAATACAGGACAAAAATATATAAAGGTATATATAGATATGTATGGGCTTATTCATAAAATGTAAAGTGAACAAACTATCTCAAGGCTGAAAAAGTCCAAATGATATTCGAAAGCATCAACGACGACAGAAAAAAAGATTAGCATTTTCAGTTTTCATCCTGTATTTTCTTTTGAAAGAAAGTTTTTTTTTTTTTGTTTGTTTTTTTTGTTTGAACCCGTTGAAAGTACACTGTTAAAAGTCCATTTGGCTTCTCCTTTTCAAAGCAAACAAACACGTTTTATAAAAGCGGCAGTTATTTAGTCTGAAAAGCCAGTTGTTTTGTCTTTCGCCTTCCCTCTCTTTCTGCGGGAGAGGTCCTGAGAAGAGGTTTTTTTTTTACGTGAGTTTCCTCACTGATGTCTCTCATCGTTGACCGAGTGGCCTGAGTTAGCACTGTCTGTCTGTACAGGTAAGGCTCTGCGTTTGCCCTGGAAGAAGAAGCTCGCTCACTGAGCTCTTCCTCCGTGGCTCTTTCTAGACACATCCGCGTTGGGTTCCTGTCCCCCCCAGGCCTCTCCATCGCTGTCTGTACCCCTCTCCTCCTCTCCGTCCTCATCATCGTCATCCTCCTCTTCTGGTGAAGGCTCGCTGCCGTTCTCTGTGGCCCAGCTGTCGTCTTCATCTTCTTGCTCTTTCTTCATCGTGAGCAGGGCGGGTGGAGGAGGAGCTGGCGGTTCGGGCTCCGGCTTCTTCTCTGTGGACTCGCTCTGATCCTCGAAGGCTTCTGGGTTTTCCAGCATCTCTCGGATGAGAGGAGGCATGGGGCCCGGGATCTCCATCTTCAGAGTTATGGCCCTCTCCGCTCCTGTTTCACACAAACAGTTAAGTTCAAGAGGGTGTCATTTATGTGTATAGGGCAAGTTTATTTACTGTATATAGCACATTTCATACACAATGGTAATTCAAAGTGTTTTACATGAACGGGGACAAAGAAACAAAGATAAAAATAAAAATAACAAAGAATAAAAATGATTAAAACAGATTAAAATGTGGTTATAAAAAAATTAACAGAAAGACATAAAAGTGCGATCTGTCGAACGTTGAACGTTGAAATCACTAGAGCAGAGAAACTAGGGCCTGAGAGCCAAAGTTGTCTCTTTGTATCCTTTGTTTTGGCCCGCCAGAGGAAAATGATTGAGAAGGGTTGGAGAATGCCTTTACTAACATACATTCTCATTTGTGTTTTAACTTCTGGCTACAAATTTAGTTCAATTGTTTCAATTGAATGTTTAAATGTAACAAACAAAAAAAAAAATACATTGTGTCACTTAATAAATAGGGGACAAAGCAGAAAATATCAACATGCAATTCAATGCAAAGTTCCTTAAAATAATGTAACGAAAAATTTATTAAGATTTTTAAAAATTGTTTAAAATTACCCATTGCAACTTTAATGTTATACAGTTTGTTATATTTACCTTTACCCACAGCTCTCAATCAAGCTTGGATTTTGGCCTTTCATAGAAAAAAATTTGGGCAAGAGTAATTTCAAATTTTTGGGTGAACTATCCCTTTAATACAGGAGTGGGCAAACTTGTGTCCTGCACAGTTTAGCTCCAACTCTAATCAAACACGCCTGCTAATAGATTTCTAGTGATATTGAAGACACTGATCAGCATGTTCAGGTGTGTTTGATTAGTGTTGGAGCTAAACTGTGCAGGACACCGGCCCTCCAGGATCGAGTTATCCCACCCCTACTTTAAGGTATACAGTTCTAGAAAAGAGAGTGAAAGCCTGTTCAGATGATTATTATTAATTTTGCTTCAGTTTTCCAGCAAACAATTCAATTTATAATAGATGCGTGTTTTCTGAAGGATCATGAAGCAGTAAAGACTAGAGTAAGGATGCTGAAAATTCAGCTTTGCCATCACACAAATAAGTTATATTCATTCATTCATGTTCTTTTCGGCTTAGTCCCTTCATTAATCCGGGGTCGCCACAGCGGAATGAACCACCAATTTATCCAGCATATGTTTTACACAGCGGATGCCCTTCCAGCTGCAACCCATCACTGGAAAACATCCACACACTCTCACATTCACACAGATACACTATGGCCAATTTAGTTTATTCAATTCACCAATAACGCATTTCTTTGGACTTCAGGGGGGAACCGGAGGAAACCCACACCAACACAGGAAGAACATGCAAACTCCACACAGAAATGCCACCTGACCCAGCCGGAACTCAAACCAGCGATCTTCTTGCTCTGAGGCGACAGTGCTTACCACTGAGCCACCGTGTCGCCGAAAAGGAAAACAGCTATATTAAATTGTCCAATGTCACACTATTTTACGTCTGTTGTTAAATTTCACATCTGTTACATTTGGCAGTGTTCTTTGCGTTGAAGCATGAGTAATCTGTTGTTTTTGCAATGGAGCAAGTCAAATCTTGTATTGTCAGATGGGTTGTATTTTGCATTGGAGCATCTGAATGAAGGAGTGCTTTTTAGCTTGTATTCAAGTATGCAAACTTTTCTCAGAAACATTCCTCAAGAAAATTTGCATTACTTTTGTGAAACCATTAGAGTGCAAAAAACCCTGTCATCATTAACCATGGTCTTTGCTTATTTAAAAAAGCAACTGATACTTTGAGAGACAAAAAAACATACTTAAGCAAATCAAAATTATTATTTGTGGCTCCTGGTGATACAATGAGATCTTGTTAAGTGAAAAAAGACCAATTGTTCCGCTTCATAAGACCGCACAGTGGTATTCATTTTGTTTTGCCTTTATATGTTTTTTGACTCTCTAAAGTGGTGGATAAGGAGATTTCCCCCAATGTGTAAAGTGCTTTGAGTGTCCAGAAAAGCCCTATATAAATGCAAGGATTTATTATTATTATTTTTAAAGGCTTTAAAAAAGCATGGGTTTAGTCCAATAAAAGCCACAGTTTTAGTCAAACAAAAAACCTTGAATTAAATTAATGCAAATATTTTTTTTTAGGTAAACTATTCATTTAAGTTCCCTAATGCATTAAAAATGTAATTAAATATTAATAAAAATATAAGGTAATAGTGTTTTTCATCAGAGTTTTGCCTAATGAACTGACCCTTGGTGCTGATCCCACGTAGATCAGTGATCTTCATCAGCATGCGAGGGAACATGTGAGGTTTGTTGGGTCGGCGGCGTCGTGCATAAATCTTCAGAGCTTCCAACAAGGGCTCCTGCAGACGATCGACACGCTCTGGCTCCTCAAGATCCATTCGGTCTACAGAAAAGGAGGATAATATTAGTATTCCAGTACATCCATGTGCTATTTTTAGTGGTGTAGTTAAAATGAATCCTGGGCTCAATTTATGTTAAAGAGGTGTCCAAATCTGCTCCCGGGAGACCTGCAGAATTTAGCTCCAACTCTGATTAAACACAGCACCAATGAGTCATGATCTTTAGACTTACAAAAACCATCCAATCACTTGCGTTAGAGCTGAGCGCAGTCGAGCTCCTCAGAAGCAGGATTAGACACCCCTATTATAACGTACAGTTGGTTCAACTAGAGGGCAGCAGCGTTGCAACAGAATTGCATCATGCAATACCTCCACATATGAGGCAGATGGCACTAAGGAGGCCAGTCTCCGTATCATCCATCTCAAGAGGCAGAAGCTGACCAGCGAAGGCAAACACCAGGTCAGTGAGCGGTCCGAAACCTGCATTATGCATCTGAGTCCGGTTGAGGGTTAGTCCATCCGAAAAGGTCATTGTGTCCTGCTCCGGTGTGTATCGTGTACAGATTCGCAGCATCTACAAGAGGCACAGACATTTATGAGGCTATGAATTATGTAAATGTAGTGGATGCATGGTCTACATCAAAGCGAGCTTTGGAAGACACACGTACTAGAATGTCCAAGCAGGCAGATTTGAGAAGGGTGATCTGATCTGCGATGGTGAGGGTGGTGAAGCCTGGGAGGCGTTTGGCAAACTCCACAATTTTAATGATGCACTTGGTGGAAAGCTCACTGAATTTGTCCCATAGGCCCAGGTCTAGCTGAATCCTGTGGTCCGAGCTGGAGTTCTAATGAAGAGAAAATGGGAAGAGAAGGTTAATATATGCATGCATGAATATTGACTAGTCCAAAAAAAAAAAAAAAAAAAGATTTTCCATTCGAAAGCTTTTCATTAAACATGAGGATAAATTTTGCAGTAGGTACAAAAAAAGGTGAATTTCGATCTGTTCCTCACACTCTGGAATTTAGAATGAGAGAGATGAGTTCACATGAGTTATATTATGATAGTTTTATGAGTCTTTTTGTCATTTTGGCACCCCTGTGCTCATTTACTTTCATTACACTGAAAAAAAGAGTGAACTTCATCAAAAATACATTTTGTCTTACAGGTTTGGAACAACATGAGGTCGAGTAAATGACAGTATTTATCTTTTGGGTGCACTGTTCCTTTAAATGATGTATTCAATAATGGAAGATGTTTATCACACTACATCTGACATGGTCGGTTTACACCTCTATAAATAAATTCCACATTCCATTGCTGACAGATTTGTTCATTTGCAGAAAGCACTCACTGTGGTGTATTTTCCCAGCTGGCAGAGTGAAGGGAAGGTCTCTTGATGTGCTTTGCTCACTTTGTTGACCAGCTCCTCCAGTTCCCCACTCAGCTCATAGCTCTCTGGCGGAATGACCTCATCCTTCACGTCTTTCTTCTTCTTATTTCGATCGTTGCGCACAGCTGAAAGTCACAAAGAGAGGCTGCTCAATACTCCAACCATGAGTCAGGTTCACTCACAAACTGCCAAACTATTATCTTAGCAGTTGGATGTGCAACCAAGAGAAACATTATGAAATGATGTTCCGAAAAACAGGAGATAATTTTAGATTTAATTGCTAAACCAAAATGAAATAAATTGCTTAAAGTCCGCATGAACCGGAAGTTGCTGTGACTTTTATTTCAGTGTGTTGATGTACTTCCAGCTGAAACAGAAATTTGAGTAGGGACGGGGCTTTCTTTTGCATATCATTCCCTCATAGCAAACTAATGGTAACAGGGGCATGGTTAAGAATATTGTGGCCAAAGCAGCCTAACTGACATCATCAGAGCAGAACAACCACTACAAACGCTAATGGTCAGCCTTTGATTGAGTTTTGATTTGATTACCACAAAAATACAAAATTCAGAGGACTAACTTGCATGGATTATTTGTTCACTTAAAGCAGGGGTCATCAACCCTGATCCTGGAGAGCTTCCTTCCTGCAGATTTCAGTTGCAACCCTGAACAAACACATCTTTAATTATCAAGTGGTGCTTTAGGTCCTAATTGATGGCCTGTTTCCACTGAGTGGTACCGTACGGTACGGTACAGTTCAGTACAATTTTATGGCTGTTTCGCCTGTCAAAAGGTACCAAAACGTTTTGATTTGATTACCACGTTTTGATTTGATTAACCGTACCATACCACTTTTGGAAGGGTACCTAGCACAACAAAAAGGTACCAAAAAGCAGAGCAAGACGCACAGCTGTTAGTTTACGGAGATACGTCACTAGCTTGTGCACAAGCTAGAAGAAAGAAAAGAAAATAAGCGTCCTTTTTAAATACACAGCCGAGACATTAATAATAATATAGACATACAGTAATGAGGCATCGTCGACCCGTGCTTAAACAAACCTTGTTGTCGTCTTGATGAACTGCCACAAAGCCAAGAAGAGCAGAATCTACCCTGTGCCTCATAGTTGTTAACAAGATCGTCTAAAACACGAGTGGTTTCACTTTCTCGAGGGCACTCGCTGCGCGTCTATATTTGAAATAACGAATTCCTTTAGCTGATGATAATAACGTGCGCATGAGTATTGTAGTGCTTCTGACATTTGATCCTTTCAGAAACAGACAAAGTGAGAGTAAAGCGCGAAAAAACAAAGGAGAAGCCCGAAAAAACAAAGCAGCAAATGATTCTTTCAGCAACTTAAAACATGTACAAACCGCCAGTTTTACTGTAATTGGTAACATATCGAAGACTGTAAGGGTCTGTATGTCTTCATATATGTTGCATTTATTTATTTATATTATAAAATTGCAGATGTTACAGTAGGCTATTTTGCTCGCTCATTGTTCTGCAGTAATAATCAAATCCTGTTCATAGAAAGGTTATAATAAACATTTATACAGAAGTATATGTGTGTATGAAGCATGCTTTGTGAGAAGTGCTTGTCATATGATATGTGAAAGACCTGTACAGCTTTACTGTAACATTTCCTTGAGCGAGAATAACGTCAAAACTTTCTGTCGTACACCAGGCCCAGCAAAAGGGTACAATTATTGGGGACATAATTGGTTCAGGTGTGTTTGTTCAGAGTTGGAGCTGAATTCTGCAGGTAGGTAGCTCTTCAGGAACAGGGTTGGTGACCCCTGACCTAAAGAATGACAATATGCACAAAAAAAACAATATAAATTTTGATTTCACACGGACTTTAATGTGCAAATTATGTGGAACTGTGTTTTAGTTTTGTGTGGCCAAAAAAAAACATGAAAGAAAAATGTATTTCAGGTGAATCACATGAAAACATTGCCATGGTCGGTTAATCAATGAAATGGAAAAAAATGTTTCAATACAATTAAATTTGAAACAACAAAACATCATGTTGAAACGCTGAAACGAACGTCATGAAAACATGTCCATGTCACATTTCACACACTCACTTTCTTTCGGCTTATTCCCTTCTTTATCAGGGGTCGCCACAGCAGAATGAACCGGCCATGTCACATTTCGCCCGATGAAATAAAATGAAATGAAATGAAATATTTTATATGATGTCTGTCATTGCTCATTAGTATTTTTTTATAAGACTAACATTTTTACAAGACTAACATTTTTATAAGACTAACATTTGAACATGTATTTAAATTGTAGTAAAGTTCAATAAACATGACATAAAACATGTGACACAATGGTTTAATCATCATGAAAATGCCTTTGAGTGTATGTTCACCCAAAAATGAAATTGATGTTATTAATTACTCACCCTCATGTCGATCCAAACCACCAAGACCTTTGTTAGTCTTCAGAGCACAAATCAAGATGTTTTAGGTCAAGTCTTGTCCAGAAAGGTACCAAAAAAACTACCTCAAAACAGACCATTTATCTTCAGGGGTTCAATTAAAATATTATAAGGCTTAGAGAATTCTTCGCAATCTCGATTTGAAACGTTGAGATTAGCTAATCGCAAGAGGCTGTGATATGAAATATATTTGTATTGTTTATTTCCCCTGACCAAAGCAAACGCGTGACTGCCATTTGTGCGCGACAGTCTCACTAGCCAATTCAGTGAACACACTTTCGTTCTGCCCAATCAAAAATACGTAGTTGAACTATAAACAATTGCCACAAAAAAAAAAAAAACACACAAACAGAAAAGCGTGGATGAGTGGGATGATGGCATCTGCCACTTCAGAAGCATTAATAGACAAATTAATATCAAAGGAAAAACTAGACAATGGAAATATGGGAATATTTTCATTTCAAAGTCACAAAAGTTAAGTGTTTTAATAACTTCATGTGTATTTCATGTGCATTCACTGCTCGCGATGCAGGTATGTGCGTCTTTTGTAGTGACTGACTGTAATGCAAAGAACTATAAAAAATGATTTGTTTTCATCATCATAGAGCAGTTATATATATATATATGGAGAGCTTACGACCTACTTACTACGGTTTGTTTTAAGAACATGTTAACAAATTTAGTTACAAACCAGCTAGTAGTTACAAAGCCCCTAGTGTGGACCTTACCTTCCAGTTTAAAAAAGAACAGCTGGTGCAACCTTGCCCAGGAGATAACTAATGGCATAACGCACTACCTCGCGCTGAAGACACGGTTCCTTTTAATGCAGTGACCAAAGAGGGATTAAATAAACTTATTTAAATGCAGGATTGGAGATATACACTTCCATCTCACACCTATTTTAATGGTAAAGTTGTACGTTTAACTGCCTGATATGTTGTGAAGCATCTGGGATAATTATTTTGTTTTAGACAATATAAGCTACAGAAAGGTTCTTATCAGCCATATTAGTTTGCTGAGTATTCTGTATTTTTATTATCATTATTTTTGTGCATCTAATAAGCTACACTATCTGCCTAGTTTGAGTTCAACTTGTTTACAGAAAGGTAAGGTCATTTTATTTCTGTTTACTGTTTGCTCTAGAGACAAATGAGCGTTTAATTTCTGAATATTTAAAAACAAATGTAAATAAACACTTTAAGTAATATCTTTTCACTTCTGTATTTTAACTAACTCTACATTTTATACACTACACTAACCTTTTAGCAGTAAGAGGTTTTGATACAGATTAACGAGCTGAAGCTGGACTACAAAATTAAATGACAAACCTAATCGAAATATCTGTCAAACAAATCACAACTAGATATTTTCCCCAAATCGCACAGCCCTAGTATAGGTCATGTGTTCATGGGCACTGTGAAGTTTTTTTTTATATGTGCACAAAAGTATTCTCGTAGCTTGACTAATGGTCGGTTTTGAGGATGTTTTTTTTGATACCTTTTTAGACTTTGAATGAGTCTGGACCAGTGCTCTCTATGGAGGACGAGGGAGCTCTCCTAAAATGTCTTAATTTGTGTTCTGAAGATACACGAAGACTTCAGGGGTTTGGAACAACATAAAAGTGAGTAATTATTAGTCGTCATTTTTGGGTGAAATAACTTAAAAAAAAAAAATATATATATATATATATATATATATATATATATATATATATATATATTGTTCACTGTACAATTTTCAGTATTGTCATGAGCTGAAATACGACATTCTGAGATTCAACTTGTCACTGGATAAAACAAACTTAGTTTACCACAGACAGTTTGCATTATTGCACCTCACCTGAATAAGGACACTGTATGTTGTTACTGTGTGCCAAATCCTAAACGTTATGACTCATTCTTGGAAACTGACCTCAGATCGGACACCGTGGGTGTTTTGGTGAGTTTGACCCAAGGGAGAGCAGCCCTGCCAACCCTAAACCCCCTCCCGTCTTTCTCTCGCCCCCCTCCCATTCTTTCCTTCCTCTCAGGATATCCAGTAATAGCAAAAGCACAATGCGATCCCGGTCCCTACACACATCCCATACATATAAACGCACACATACGCGTCCCGGAGGACACATAGAGGGCCAATGTGCCAGTCTCGTTGTGACATCATCGCCGTGACCCTGGCAAATGAACAAACATATGCCCCAGACTCGCTCTTTCAACCTCGGACTATTGTCTTTGTTACACCACAAATCTGTTAGTGCCAAGTCATAAAGTGACTAGGGGAAGGGCTACCAAAAAAAAATAAAAAATCACACCTAACGCTGATGGATTGATGTGGGTGAAACTGCAGACATGGAGCCCATTTGTGGACATTCGTTTTGAGCTCTAACCTCTATGCTAACCAACTTTATTGCTTCGTGTTTGAACTGTTGTTTGTCTTTTGGGATTTTATTGTTTCAAACTTGTGGAAGCTTGTCCTTAGGGAAAAAAAGAGGCATGTGTGACTGTTCCATCTTACAATATTGAACTTTTTTTTTCAAAAGAATTTTAAGTTCATTGCAGAATTGTGAGTTTAAATCTTGCAAAAAAAGTTGAAACTGCAGTTGTGAGAAAAAGTCATCATAAAAGTTTTGTCTTGTCATTCTCAGCTTATACAGATTGAAATTCTGATATTCTTGCAAGTTTGAGCTAGCTTACACCTCACAATTCAGATTTTTTCCCTCAGAATTGCTACTTTGTATTGAGCGATTGCAACTTATAAACTTGTTAACCTCACAATTTTTAAAAAATGGTAAGAAATGCAAGACATAAACTTTTAAATATGAGAAAAAAAGTTGAGTAAAAGTTTTTTTGCACAATTTAAATGCATTTAAATTCTTAAAAAAAAACACAAATTTTGCCCTATTAGGTTTTTATGCATGAATCTTACGTTTTTGTTCTAAATTCTAGGTTGATTTATTCGATCTATTTGAATTTTAGTTTAGTTTAGTTTAGTTTAGTTTAGACCAACACTTAACATCAAGTACAAAAAAAAAAAAATGGAAAAAAAAAAAAAATTTAAAAATAATAATAATAATAATAATAATAATTTATAATGAAACAATGACACTAATAATCAATCAACTACATTTATTCATTCATTTTCTTGTTGGCTTAGTCCCTTTATTAATCCGGGGTCGCTACAGAGGAATGAACCGCCAACTTATCCAGCAAGTTTTTACGCAGCGGATGCCCTTCCAGCCGCAACCCATCTCTGGGAAACATCCACACACACTGATTTACACACACACTCATACACTACGGACAATTTAGCCTTCCCAAATATACCTGTAATGCATGTCTTTGGACTGTGGGGGAAACCGGAGCATCCGGAGGAAACCCACGCGAACACAGTCCACGCAGAAACGCCAACTGAGCCAAGGCTCGAACCAGCGACCTTCTTGCTGTAAGGCGACAGCACTACCTACTGCACCCCTGCTTCGCCCAATGACATTTATTACGCAACCGAATTGTTGACTTCATAGGGGAAAGTCTAAAAATTTTTAGCACAAATGAACAATGCCTTCTGAATTTACTTGACATCTAATAATCATCATGAGTTCTTATCTCACAATTTCATCTCAATCTCACAACTTTGTTTCTTTTAAATTTTGATTTAAATCGTGCAATTCTGAGTCTTAACTTTATATATAGTACAGTGTAACGCTGCATTTGCAGGGAAAAAAAATTGCAGTTGTGAAAAAAATTCATCATAAACGTTTTGTCTTGTCATTCTCAGCTTATATAGACTGAAATTCTGATATTCTTGCAAGTTTGAGCTAGCTTACACCTCACAATTCAGATTTTTTTTCCTCTTAGAATTTATACTTTGTATCAAATGATTTCAACTTATAAATTTGTTAACCTCACAATTTTGAGAAAAAAATCCTTGCGCGTTGTCGTACTTTTATACTTCTTTGTGTTGCTCTGCAATAACACTTCCGAAACACTAACTAGCATTGTTATATTCCTGTGTGTCGAGTTTCTTTGCGGGTATTTTATTCTTTTCGGAACACTAAAAGTAGTTCTAACTCGCTCATTCAGAGGTGGGAACTGGCTGATGTGCAACAACTTTATTCATACGGTAAAAACAAAACAAAAGTTTCCATCTAGAGCTTATTCACAGGACTCGACACATGTAAACACTCGCTCCATCGCGCTCGTGGCTCTTAGCATCGCCCACGTTCGTCACCGGTACCAAGCCGACCAATCACAGAGCTTGCGCTATGCATCATTGCGACGTGTGGTTAATTTTTTGAGAGGTGAGCATCAGCGTCAGCCACGGCGAGGGCTATGCGGCCGCGCATAGGCTGCGCCAGACCATACGCATGTGCTTGACGCAGAAGTATAAATCAACCTTAACACAATAAACACTTACACTTAACATCTAGTACACTAACAAAAACTGAAAAGAAATAATAATAAATTATAATGAAAATAAATCTAATAAAATAAAAAAAAGTATGAAGATAATCCATCAATTAATCAACAACATTCATTGTTTCAGGCATAAAAGTAAATTTATAACGGATTGTGGAATATCTTATTGTTCTTATATGTCGCCCAAAGAACATTCACTCAAAATATTAGTTTAAAGGGTGTGTGTGCTGTCTCCTATTATTGTATGTGCCATCCTCAACACCTGCTGTTAATAATAACATGCAAGACTTTGCAGAGGAACGGTCAAAAGGTTTGAGCACAAATTAACTTGTCTTGTGAATTTACTTGACATCTAATAATTTTGATTATTCATAATTGTGAGATTGTCTAATAATTCTGAGGGGGTAAATGTCTAAATAGCAAGATAATTATGAAAGAATTGCAACATTTCAAAATGTAGTTCATTTCTCACAATTCTGATTTTATCTCTCTGAATTACAAAGAAAAAGGTCAGAATTCTGCAATGAAAAGTCACAATTACCTTTCATATTTTATTATTGCATGGCCGGAAACGGACTTCCACACAAACAAGCAGTTAACAACCATCTACAGCGTGTTTATGCTGGTGCTCAAGTCTCACAACTCTAAATTTGTCTGTGTCGCTGGGTTGTATGTCTGTTTCACAGCTTCTAACCTATATCAGCGTGTCCCCGTCTGTCTCCTGTCCCATCTCTATATTTGTGTTTGTGTATGTGGGTCTTGGCTGAAGGCCAGGGAGCCCGCGTGCCTGGCAGAGGTCTAAACCCTCACCTTCCTTGGACATGCCAACCTCGAAGCACTTCTGCAGCCGGCAGTACTGGCAACGGTTGCGCGTGACCTTGTTGATCTGGCAGTTCTTGTCACGGTGGCAGGTGTACACCATGTTCTTCTGAATACTGCGACGGAAGAAACCCTACAACAGACATCCAAGAGAGAGAGAGAGTTGGTCAGACGAAGAGTAGGTCAACCATTATCTCTTATATGCCTATGTATTGTTCAAACTTGCTGATCCAGAACTGTGTTTGGCTATTGATGCCATTAGGTCTTTGTATATCAATGGACAGTCATAAAATGGCCCTCATACCTGTGAACATGTTAATTAAATTAATCTAATATTTTGTTCAAGTGGGATCATTGCTTGCTGCAAACATTTTACAATTGGGTTAGTGAATGTGACATGGCCTGTTTGTGCAGGACCTGTGTGTTTGCTTTACATACAAATAGTTTTTCTATGTAAACATGTGCTAAACAGGTTTTTTTGTCAGTGATTTGTGACACGGTCACATTTTTAACATGCCTTGTCAAATCAACAAAACATTTAGCAAAATAGGTTTTTGACCATTTGTAAGGGATCTAACTTAGTGAAATTACTATTGTTGTTTATTAATATTATATATTACTGTGAATTAACTAGACGTGTGCAGGGCTGAGTTGTACATGAGTTTTCAAGCATCAAAAGTATTGTGTAGCACATTATTAAATTAAAAAGCAGTATTTTTCCACCATACATAGGCAAATGTCTATTTAAATTGTTTTTTTGTTTGTTTTTCTATCATACTTTTACTTTAATCTATACTTACAGATGAGAACCACTAAAATTCAGGCCAACTAAAGTTTTTTACCAAACAAATCTGTCTGGCAAACTAAAGCACAGAAACACTAATTTATTTATAAATCTTAATACTTACATTCATGCATATGTTATTAAGATGATTGTTTTCTCCAATATTTAGACTATTTTCCACAAAAGTTATTAAAAATATTTTAAAAATACACAAATTACTAGCATTTAACGCATTAAAACCATTTTTATTTTATGTATATAAATTTGTAAATTGTAAATTGAATATTATTTACATGTATATTCTTATGGACATGCAATTATCATTGGCATTTTCACCAAAATGTTTTATTTTCATATAATTTTATTGTTTTAAATAAATAAGCTTGTCCACAGTACTACAGTGGACAAATTACTATAACGGTACAAAAACTAGTGCAACCAAATTTATGTTACAGAAAAATATTAAATAGAAATTTTAAAAAAGAGGAAAAATCAAGAAAAGCAAAAAGTTTAGTTGAAATTTTGTAGGATGTCTTTTTTTTTTTTTTTTTTGCAATATTTTGCTTGAATTTAATTGGATTATATTTCAATTTCTAACATGTTTGGTGACTAAAATATTATTTTAATAAATATATCTGTTTATTAAATCTGTTTTGTTTGAATGCATCAAAATACATTGCCCTTATTCACTGAGAAATGGATAAGAATATTCATTTTCAAAATGACGTGTACTCAATATGCTGAGCACTGTATATGGTTCACATTTATTGTGTCTCTTAAATAAATTGAAATTAAATGAATTGCACATATTAAAATGATAAAATATTCCAGAATCTTTAAAATGAAACATGTCTATAAATATACTTGACCATCAGTGTTGGGAAAAATGTATATATTACAATCTAAAATTGTTTAAGACATAAAAACGGTCTTCGGACTTTTATTGTCTGTACCATTGGTGTGTACTAAAATGGAAAAAAGTCCTTTAAATATGCAGCACCGTTTGCATGAAATAACCTCCAAACAAAGATGCAGTTTAAAGAGTTGGTTTCATGCTTTTAAAAAGATTTGAAATGATTTGAGTTTGAAACATGGCCTGTAGATGTTCTGAATAGTTTTTAATTGTCATTGTATGTGTGTTTTGATGAATGAATGATATTACCTATTGTTTGTTTGTTTGTTTGTTAAACCCACAATGTAAAACCCCAAAACCCAAACAACTCAAACAATTTGAGAAAACCGATTGCTACAAACCATTTAAGTTCAAAAACTAATCAGAATGAGTACTGTGAACTTAATCCATTTGAGTAAATAAAGTAATTTGATCACAGTAAAACCCAATAAATGAAGAGAACTTAAACCAACCGAGTACTGTAAACCCAATAAGTTAAGGCAACTAAAACCGTTTGAGGAATCCGATTGCTACAAACAATTTGTGTTAAAAAACTAATCCTTATGAGTACTGTGAACTTGCTTCATTTAAGTTGAAGCAATTATACTATTTAATGAACTCAGTATCTTCAACACTGAGTTCAAAACTCTTTTTAAATTTGTTGAATTAACTTCAGCCAATTTTGAGTTAACTACACACATTTCATTTGATAAAGTTGACTGTTGGGTTTTACAGTGTATGTGAAATGTATACTGTCTAATCTTGGCCAGGACACTCATGTAAAAGAGATTTTTTAATCTCAATGTGCTTTTCTTTTTCAAATAAAGGTAATGATAATAACAATGATAATAATAATCATCATCATCATCATTAATATTATTAATATTATTATTAAAGTTTGGATTTTTTGTGTATGCGTTTAAAACAATATAATTTGCACAAAGAAATTAAGAGGTTCTTGTTACTACCCCGTTTAGAGCATCATTATGGGCGTTTTACGTTATAACTAACGTGGTTCAAATGATGGATCTGCGACAGAGAAACTAGGGGTTTTGTGAAACACTCGTCACTACATCGTTCTTTTCCCAAACGATGCACCGTATTATGACAGTTAAGCCGCGAGTTACGTTGTTGTTTGGGAAATGCATCCCTGTTTGGTACTTTTGTGTTACTTTGCACTACATTGACGGTGATTGGAAGCTGCACCAGAGATACCTTGAGATATTTTTCATTAGAATAAAATTATTATTTACATTAAAATATTGTTTACAGAAGATGCAAGAAATGCACTGTTTAAAATATTATTTACAGGATAGGCAAGAGTTATTTTATTTAGAAGAGATGCTGTTTTTTTTCAACATTCAACATAAGAAACATTGAAAATAATTTATTTAGTTTCCAAAAGTGCATGTTAATTATTTTCACTTTTTTATAAGGAAAAAAGTGACTGTTAGTTTAAGGCAATGTGTGTTAAAAAATCAGTTGTTCAATGTTGATGTTCAATAAATAATCATAGATAGTATAGTAGATAGTGTGTGTTTCCTGCAATTATTTTAAAATCAAGCAATGCTCACTTTATTCAAGAAACTCTCACTTGTAATATGTGAGCATATTTACTGTACAAAACTTGTGAAATATTAGGGCAAATAAATAAAATACTCGTTCATTAATCGTAATTGAATTAAAATGTTCAATTAATTGAGATTTTAGGCCGAATCTCCCAGCCCTATTGTAGAATATACTGGATTGTCACATCACACTTGGCCGATACTGTATTCTTTTTCAAAAAGTCACCACCTTTTGTACATTTTCAGAAACATTTTTGCTCTTTGCCATACAAGTTCCTCAATCAGTCTTAGTTTCTTGTTGTTGACAGGAGCGAAAATACTTTTTAGCATGCGCCAGCTAAACCTCCATGCCTCTCTTTGTTTTTTCACATTTTTGCCAAACATCAAGACAAAGTGTGGAACAGACTCATGAAAAACACGAGACTCGTCAGGCCACAGGCGACGGGAGTCCGGCTGTTTACCTTGCAGCCCTCGCAAGAACTGACACCATAGTGGTACCCAGAAGACTTGTCCTGGCAGACGAAGCAGGGTTTGTAAACACGCGGTGGAGGTGGCGGGGAAGGGGAACTGGGCACCATCTCCTCCGAACTGGTGCTCTGAGTCTCCACCGCTGAGGAGAGAGAAAAGAAAACATCAGACGCTTCACCTAATCACATCACTTCACACTATTTACACAACACAGGAGGATTTAATGAGAGGGAGATATTAAATGCCACATGGAGAGAAGAAAAGATTCTCCCGTGAACCCTTTAAACCGTATCCGATTTCAAAGACCCACGAGTGCTTTGAAACCCATCATGATTCCTCGCTAAACCTTTTTCATGATGCCCTCAAGCAGAAACACACAAGACGCTACCCAACACTGCTTTTTAAATCTGTTATTGTAGGCACAGCATCTGCCAGCTAGGTACAAGTCAAGTTTAGTTAACGCATCTGTAGATTTCATCTGGCTCTAGCTCCACCCTTCAGCCCACCCTGTCCTTAGGGGGCCAGGATTTTAGGGGATTAGGCTGTGGTGATTGACGCTGAGAAGAAAAGAAAACACAAACAGTTTAACACTAGCAGACAGATAAGCGGAGCCGATAAGACAGGTATAGCTCATCTCTGTCACAGAGAGCCTGGGGGTGAAACTCCACCTTGCAATTGGCGTCTTGCATGCGGGACGTCTGACTGAAGAAGGACAAGGGTCTCGTGACTTACTAATTTAGACATCAAGTCAATATTTGAGCAGATGAAATGTTTTTTAAACTGATGTGTGCTAACTAACGCAACTGTCTCCTGACAGATTGAAAACATCAGCACTATCGCATCAAATCAATATTTGACTAAGTTGAGCTTTAAAATTAAATATTTTTTTTTCTTTACAAATTAACCAAAAATTGTTTTATAATTGACAAATGAAAAATGAAAACTGAAATAAATCAATATTAAACTGACTTTTGCTGAGAAACGAACTTGATATCTTCTGAATAGATGCTTACAGTTGATTTATAATTGTATTAAAATTAGGGATGTCCCGATCAGGTTTTTTTGCTCTTCAGTCCGAGTCCAATATTTTAAGTATCTACCGATACCGAAACCCGATCCGATACTTCTATTGTACATAAAAAAGAATAAAGAAGAGTAAAGAAACAGATCCAAAATAGAGTTTTTTTTTATTTAATTCAACTTATTTTAACATTCAACAACTCTGTTAACAGACAGAGCCCTTCTGTGAGGTAGCTTAAACAATCAAGAAATAAATAACATCAATTCTTCACTTTTGGATTCTTTATTTTTGCGCAACAGTAAATATAAAAAATAATCTGATATAAAAATTAATAGCACCTCAACGTAAACTACCCGGCACGCAATCCCAAGTTTACATATTTGACAGTTTGCTATAGAAATGTCATCAACTTAATAATACCTCCAGACCACTGACATACTCGTACTTCCCGCTTCAAGATGCTTCAGTGTTCTAGTTTGCCGGCATTTAACCAATAGCGTCTCTGCAACAAAGTGATGTCATGCCGCACACATTTCTGTTTGTGTGTGAAGTCAAAAAGTGGTACAACTCTGTGCCACCGCATAACTATAGAAAAAATGAGAATATACAGTTGATGTCAGAATTATTAGAATTATTATTCATTTTTAATTTTTAAATAATGATGATGCTGAACAGAGCAAGGACATTTTCACAGTATGTCTGATAATATTTTTTTCTTCTGGAGAAAGTCTTATTTGTTTTATTTCTGCTAGAATAATAGCAGTTTTAAAATTTTTAAAAGCCATTTTAAGGTCAATATTATTAGCCTCTTTAAGCTATTTTTTTCGATGGTCCATCATCCAAACCATCATTATACAATAACTTGGCTAAGTTACCTATCCTGCCTAGTTAACCTAATTACCCTAGTTAAGCCTTTAAATGTCACTTTAAGCTGTATAGAAGTGTCTTGAAAAATATCTAGTAAAATATTATTTACTGTCATCATGGCAAAGATAAAATAAATCCATTATTAGAAACGAGTTATTAAAACTATTATGTTTAGAAATGTGTAGACAAAATCATCTCTCCGTTAAACAGAAATTGGGGGAAAAAATAAACAGGAAAGCTAATAATTCAGGGGTGCTAATATCTATATGTTTGAGTCCTGATTGGGAGGTAACGTCCAATTTCGATCGAGTCTGAAACCACCTGATCGAGCCAGATTTCCAATCACGTGATCAGATCTGGACATCCCTAATTAAAATGCAAATTTTTCGCAGTTGCTGATTAGAATCAAAGCTGATAAATATACTATTGTTTTCAGAGCTACTACTGCATAAAAGCAGATTCTGTGTTTCATATCTGCATCGCTTCAACTATTTGCCCTGTTACACAGCTCTCTATAAAAACTCTCTTTTATAGAAGCGCCTTTATATGTCAGGGTAACTTGCCCTGACTTTTACCCTCAGTCAGTCAAAATTCAAACCCCCATCCTTCACCCTTGCCGTCCTTTGACACACAAACCCTATTTTTCTCTTGTTTCCCGGCCCTAAATTCCTCAGTGCAGTCCTGCTAGGTTTTAATAGAGGCCCCTGCTCGTAAGCTAGGCCTATAAAGGTGGTCTCATGGCTGGACTGGAGGCCCCAGCCCGGCTGGCGGGGTCTTTATTAAGACTCCAACACCTCGGGCAGCCATTCACACCACCAGCTGTAGCCTAAGCTAGTAAAAAAAGTCCCAATCATAAAAATAAAAAACTTTAACTTTATTGCCCCACCTTCTTCAGCTACCTTCAATGGAAAGCCTAAACTTAACCTACACCCCCTCCCTCTCTGTCCCACCACAGGGTTCAGCAAAAACCACCAGCTTGGCCTTTTACAAGAGTTTGGAGACTTCAAAAGAAGAAAGGGGGGCATAAAAAGAGGAATTTGATAGAAAACAGAAAAAGGGGACGAGGGTGGAGGGGGTGAACGACGAGAGGCAAACAGTCCCATTTAAGGTCGAGCTCACATACAGTAGGGCCTTCTGTTCACGGCCATGGTTACAAACAAATCACTTATTCTTCAATTTAGAGCGAGAAATGCACAAGCTTTCTGAGTATATGAGGTATAAAAAAGGCCAAATGCTTTTGAACTCGCAATGTGCATGACATCTGTTTCCCGAGTGTGTCAAGTTAGTTATTTTTTACACTGTATTTTAAAGTATGCTCCAGTGTATTTTTAAAGTGTAGGTTCACTCACTTTGTTTTACAAAACTTTGCAAGCAAAATAAAGCCATTCCAATAGGAATTTGTGTTCAAGTTAAATTCAAGTCAGTGAATTTTCTGTGGTGGCTAATTGAAAGCTGCTTGTTTCTGAGCACATGTTGGCCAGATGGAATTTAAACTTTGGTCAGTAAGTTTGGTTTTAAGGCTAAACAACAACAGTAATAAACAATTAACATCTTAAGCAAATGACCCTTACATGTCCTGATTCAAACACAAACAGCATTCAGCATATACAGTAGTATTACTCTCTATGTTGCACATTCCATTGTATGCTTTTATATTAATACACTCTAAAATATAATTCAATAGCAACATCCAGGGATGCAATTTCAGACTACAGGGTGTCACATGATCTGTGTTTTCATGCACTGAAAAATGCCTGATCCCTCGAATTAAATGAATGCATTATTCATAAAGGCACTTAACGTAATTACTGTTGTTGCCCTATGATATTTGGTAACAAGTTTAAATGTAGAAAATAATGTCTACATGTTAAAACAAGTATAAATGTGTAATTATGAAGTCATCCAAAATAAAGCAAGAGAATAAATAACACTTTTTTATTATAAGTTAATTCATAAAGTAAACTTAATTGATTTAAGTGCTTCAACAACTATATTTAACTGCAAAATGCCAAAATCATGTAGTTTTTTGTACTGTACTGTATGAAAATATATTATTAGATCAAAAGATCAGAAAAGACGTAAACATACACCCACCCCAGACCCTAGAAAAGTGGCCAAGGAGCAGATCTAAGGGCCAGGTGGGGTAGTAATGCATCTCCTTTTGTCCACTTGTGAACTGATCGATAAAACACATCTTAATACAAAGTCCAAAACAGATTCAAGTGCTCATTTACACCTATATTTAGCTGTTCCCTCATGACAAAAGAGCATCTTAACGGCAGGTGTAAAAGTGATCTTTGTTACTCATCTACATATTAATTTATTAAAGTATTGCTCAAGAAAATAGTTTACTTTTGCATTGCAAAATATCATGGGTCTAATTTAGTCCCATACACAAATTTGATATGCCCATTTATGCAAATGACATACACAACATAGAAGATCACGTTTGGATTCACATATATAACATATATGCAACATTCATTCATTTTCTTTCATCTACTCTTAGTCTCTTTATTAATCAGGGGTCGCCTCAGTGCAATGAACCGCCAACTTATCCATATGTTTTACGCAGCGGATGCCCTTCCAGCTGCAACTCAGTATTGGTAAACATCCATACACTCTCACATATGCACGCATACACTACGGCCAGTTTATTCAATTCACCTATACCACATGTCTTTGGGTTGTGGGGGAAACCGAAGCACCCAAGGGAAACCCACGCCAACATGGGGAGAACGTGCAAACTCCACACTGAAATGCCAACTCCTTACCTTAGAATTATAAGGTTCTATCTGCGTTCTGAATGATTTTGAGATATTGAGCTTCAAAGTTTTTGCATTCCATATAGCAAACAGTATGTGAGTAACATTTGTTTTTTAAATATAAAGTATTAATGTAAGCAACTTATAAAACAACATCCCATAATGAAAACAAGTTGTCATTTAATAAGAATATGTCAATAACTCAATTTTGACAAAAATTGACAAACAGTACAGCCGGGACTCAAACCAGCGAAAGCCACTGTGCCACCCTATATGCAACATACAATTTCAAAACCATTGGAATTACAAATATTTGCATATATCTTCAAATATATTAGCTACAATTCAATATACATGTCCATATATGGCCACATACTGTATCAGATTTCATATCAGACAGTTTGCTTTAAAACCATTAACTCCATTAGCCTACAGATAGCTAAGGGAATAACACACATAAGAAAAGGCTATCGAAACATAACAGGTCAC